TTTAATAATCGATTAGTCATCGATTAATCGATTATTAAATTAGTCATCGATTATTTTAATAATCGATTAGTCATCGATTAATCGATTATTAAATTAGTCATCGATTATTTTAATAATCGATTAGTCATCGATTAATCGATTATTAAATTAGTCATCGATTATTTTAATAATCGATTAGTCATCGATTAATCGATTATTAAATTAGTCATCGATTATTTTAATAATCGATTAGTCATCGATTAATCGATTATTAAATTAGTCATCGATTATTTTAATAATCGATTAGTCATCGATTAATCGATTAATTGTGGCAGCCCTATTGACCAAGGTGTGGGAACCCTGGTTTTTGCACCTTAAGGATGGTTTGTTTCACCTGCATGGAGAGCTCCTTTGACCTCATGTTTACTTCAAGCAGCACACCTGTCTATGTTCATTATATAACTATAGAATATGTTTCAGTACATGGGTAAAAAACTAACTTTGTGTCAGTGTCCAAATACATTTGGACTTAACTCTATGTACGAGGTTTAGTTAGGTAGGGAAGGGAAGGCCCAGTTTTGATGGGTACACTTCTGCACTGACCAGGGTTAAGGTTAGATTAGGGTTAGTGGTTGAACATACAGTTAGTACACACAATAAGCACATACAGGTAGAAACGCCCAGGTTGAACATACAGGTAGTGCACACAGGTAGTATATGCAGCAGCATAAACAGGTGGAATACTTGCAGGTAGAACTTGGAGGTAGCACATACAGTCTGACAYCTTTGTGGTAGTAGGGGAAAGGCCAAGTGAGCCAAATAAATGTAATTATAGAAAAACTTGAAAGAAGATGTCTTGTGTGTTCAGATGAAGCTGAAGTGTCCCAAAATGCCCCACGATGCACTGCTACAGCTGACACTCTGATGGAGGCGAGACTGAGAGACCTGCTGCTGGACATGGAAGACCGGATCCACCAAGGAACTCTAGGAACTCTGAAAGTAGGTTCCAGTCTGTCTGTGATGGGGAGGTCTTTGTCTCTTCAGACAGTTTATATGTTTGTGTTTTTGTTTCCTGTGTTGAAGGTGATGAACAGACTGGTGTGGCGCTCTGCGCTGGAAGCAGGAAACTACGAATTGCTCAGTTCAGATGAGAACAGTCGAATAACTGGACCAGTGGAGGCAATGGATTTGGATTGTGGCCAGCAAAGATCCAGAGACAGGTAGAGTGACTGACAGGTTAAAGCCTGTGTGTTTAGATCATCTGACAGGAAGTGCCTGTGTATTTTCTATCAGGCTACAGCTGAAGGTTGATGGTTCAATCACCTTTGGAACCAGTGGGAGTGGGACACCTCAAATGGTCAGCAGCAGCATACAAATCCTGGCTCAGGCCCTCGGTCATATTGAGCAAGGCATTGAGAGACGCTTCCTCAAACCTCCCCTGGGTATGTCTGTCTGTTTGGGTTTTCTGTAGTACACTGTGATTGTCAGAAAAGACAAATACTGAGGCTTTGTGCCTGACAGCAGCAGCATCAGAGGTTACAAACAGTGTTGGATAATGACAGTTTTATTCCTCTGCAGGTGATGAAGACTCAAAGAAAGACCAGAAGTTGAGAAAGAAAAAGAAAGACGACAAGCAGGCCAGTGATGGTAAGACGTCAACTATAAATTAGAAATAATCCAAACATCTGAACGTCTTGAGTGAAGTTCTTATTTTTTAGTGTAATGTCAGCATCCAGCTTACCTAACTTCTTGTCTGCAGTAGATGGTGGCAGTGACAGCAGTCGAGTCGTAAAGACTGTGTTAGAAAGATGGAGGGAGTCTCTGCAGTCCTGCTCCAGTCTGTCTCAGGTCAGAGCCAAACACAGTGTGAAAGTCAGGAACTGTGAAACAGAACAATGACAAACTTTTCTTTCAGGTGTTTGTTCACCTGTCCACTCTGGAACGAAGCATCCTTTGGTCCCGGTCCATCCTCAATGCCCGCTGTCGGCTCTGCAGGCGTAAAGGAGATGCAGACAACATGCTTCTGTGTGACTGCTGTGACCGAGGACACCACACCCACTGCCTGAGACCCCGTCTCAAGGTAAACCACACCCACTACTAGGGCTGTAGCGATACACTAATCTCACGATACGATATTCGATATTCAGCGAACGATTTGATATGATTTGATWTTCTGAACAATACTAGAGGGACAGAGTGATTTTAGGTGACATTTTGTGAYTGTTCCATAGACTTGGATTGAATTAATTGAACTGAAAACTGATAAAAGCACCATCTACACATTACCTGCTCTGACTGGACAGAGATSTAGTCTACAGCTGGACAAAATTAATCAAAGATGCGGTGAGAAAATTAGTTTTCTTTAATTGAAACAGTGCAAACTGTAGCTTACAAGCCTAAATAATATTTGGTTCCATCCAGGTAACTTTGGCCAATAAAGAGCAAATTTTCCCAAATCTTCAGGATTTGTTGTTCATGATGAGAGGAATTAAGAGTTAAAGATTTGGAGGTGAATTATTTTGTTCCCATGTAACAGAGGGGGAACAGATTAGCCACCATACAGTAGATGTCACTGAGGACACACCAGTGTCGGGAAAACCAATCCACAGAGGACGCCATTGCCTCTGTGATCCATACTGTCCTCACCCACCTGAAGAGGAGGGATGCTCTTTGTGGACTTCACATCTGCCTTTAACACCATCATTCCCCAGACCCTGGTAGACAAACTCGCTTCACTTGGACTTAGCTCCTCCCTCTGCAACTGGGTCCTGGATTTCCTGACCAACAGGCCACAGTCTGTGAGGATCAACAACATCTCCTCCTCCACCATCATCCTCAACACTGGCTCCCCCCAGGGCTGTGTGCTGAGCTCCCTCCTGTTCACACTGCTTACTTCAGACTGTCTTCCCACCCATCCAGACTGTCATATTGTAAAGTTTGCGGACGACACAGTAGTGTTTGGTTGCATCACAAACAGTGATGAATCGGACTACAGGCAGGAGGTGGAACATCTGGAGAGTTGGTGCAGGAAGAACAACCTCTGCATCAATGCAGGAAAAACTAAAGAAGTTATGGTGGACTTCAGAAGTGGCAGACACATCCACCTGCACATTGGAGGATCAGCAGTGGAAGTGGTCTCCAGCTACAGGTACTTGGGGGTGCACCTGAACAACAACCTCACCTGGAGCAACWACACTACCAGCCTGATCAAGAAGGCACATCAGCGCCTCTTACCTCCTGAGACGGGGGCGCTCTGTCCTCGCCTCCTTTTACAGAAGTGCTGTGGAGAGAGTTTTATGCTCCAGCATTATAGTGTGGCACGCAAGCTGCACTGTAGCAGAGAGGAAAGCTCTGCAGAGGGTGGGAAAGACCGCACAGAAATTAGTTGGAGTCAGTTTCCCCACCACCACCGACATCTACACCTCCAGATGCAGGAAGAGGGCCACCTGCATCAGGAAGGACCCCTCCCACCCAGCACACACTTTTTGTTCCGCTTCCCTCAGGAAGATCAGGTTCAAAACCACCAGACTGAGGACCAGCTTCGTTCCAGAAGCTGTGAGACTCTTAAAACCACAGACTGGAACACAAGACCTCCAAAACAAAACAAAAACAAACTGTAACTACACATTCAATGCACGTGTATTTGCAATTCTGCCATTGTTGCACACATTTTATATCTTTTTTTTTTTTGTAAATTTTTGTAATCTTTGAGTATATTTATTTGTTTTGTCTATATTTTTGGATAGACCGGGACCTTGGGTACAAAATTTTGTTCCACCAGATGTATGTGTGTTGTGAATGACATAAAACTTTCTTGCATCTTTGAATGGGAGAAGCTGCTTTACTGGTACTTGTGTAATGTACAGGAAGTAGGTCCCATCAGGGGATCTGTAGGAATTATGTGGACAGGAAGTTGAAAGGTAACAGACTGCAGTCTCACCACACATGGCTTCAGTCTGTTCCAGATGGAGAATGGTTTTGTCCGGACTGCCGACCCAAACAGAGATCTAGCCACATCTCATCCAGACAAAGATCTTCCATTGATGAGGAGGAAGAGGATGAAAATGAGGAGGAGGAGGATGAAGAGTCAGAAGAAGAGGAAACGTCAGAAGAGGAAATATCAGAAGAGGAGGAGGAAGAAAAAGTTGTGAGGTAAGTGTAAAAACTAAACTTTTTGCTGACATGACTCCAGAACAGAACTCTCAACATATTTACTTTTGCAGCAGCAAGAAGGTCCAGGCGCCACCCTTAAAAAGCAAGAGCCAACAGGCCACGCCCAGAAGTCAACAAGTTCCACCTGCCAACAGTGCAGCTGCCTCATCTGGGAAAACTTCCTCAGCCACCAAGTGAGTTTTTGTCAAAAACATTTGTTTTCCTGTGATTCTGAAAAGACCAAGCTAACTCTGTCCAAACAGGTCCTCAGGTAAAARAAACACCGCTCTAACGTCCAAGACCAAAGCTCCGTCCAATTCAGGAAGTCGCAGCAATTCTCGTCTGAGCCACGAGCTTCTGGCTCCAAGTGGCAAATCCAGAACCCCTCCTGGTCAGAACAAGAGACTGTTGACAGGTAAACACGAGAACATCCACCAACCAAGGAACAAAAAGCAGGAAAATCCCAGTCTGACTTAAAAACACATGAGATGGCATAAACAACCCATTAGAAACTGCCAGCTACAATGGTCTGTCAGTTTGGACTACAGGTCAGCCTATGAGCTTTTCCACGGCCAATACTGATTCTGTTCTGAGGAAGATAGCTTCCAGAGCCTTGACATCACCATCTGGGCTTTCCCAACGGTTACTGTAGTCATTACTGTAAAACCTCTTGTTTTATCTGTTGGTTGATCTTTCTGCCTCTGCTTCACCCTAAGATGCTGCTCCTCCAAAGCCATCTAAGAACATCCTCCGTGTCCTTCCTTCCTCCTCCTCCTCYTCCTCTCGGCGGTCCTCTGGAAGGAACCAGGGTGTCCACGAGCTTTCAGCCTGTGAGCAGCTGACTGTGGAACTGGTTCGACATGAAGACAGCTGGCCCTTCATGAAGCTGGTGTCCAAGACTCAGGTATTCCATAACCCACATGACCTTTACATAAACAGATCAGAGCAGTGTTTGCTCAAAAGAAGCACTGAAATCTCAAAGTCCTGTTCATCAAAGCTCTCATAACTACAGCCTGGCACATCCCTGTCCTCTTCAGACAGGCCCTGCAGTAGAAGCTGTAGTTGTAACTTCTCCAGGCTCCACATCTTCCTCACCTTCTTCTCCTGTGCTAATGTCTTCATTCCTAATACTTCTCTTTATTTTTTAGTCTGGTTTGGTTCCAGGCTTGGTGGCCTTTTTGAGGTACCATTTTGTAGCCACTTAAGCATGTTTGGGAAAAAAAGAGAGGAAACTGTATTGCTGTGATCTTCTGGAGTAGAAGTAAAAAAAAATAATAAATGATTTTTAATTTTCTATCATAGGTTTTACTCATGCTGCTCAAAAAAATCCAATAAACCGAAAAGAATTGATCAGAAATAATCAGAAAAGTATCAGGAGTTATCACATACTTCTAAGAAATTCTGCTGAAACAACAGAAACACAAGAAAACATCTGCAGATTTATAAAATTATGAAGAAATTAGCTYACTTCACTGTAGCCAGGTAACATCTTTAGGGCTTCCAGTGCCTAAACCAATCAAAATCCTGGATAGAACGCATTGCGACAGCCAACCAATCACTGACGATCTCTGTTGTCCCACTGACAAAAATGTCCAGTGGAGACATTTGCCCGGACAGTGGGACACAGATAATCCACAGGGATTTTTGATGGAAATAATATATTTGGTAGGTTTGAGAAGCATGTCGGTCAACATGTCCAAACATTTTAAGTTTTTCGCCGGACAATTGTAATTTACATCAGTGATGTTCGATGGTTCGACGTGTTTTCGTAAACACTGGATCAGAGGGTCAAAGGTCAAGTTAATTTAAATCAAGCTAGGGTTCGGCAGAATCGTATTCTGTTCAACTAATCTTCAGGAAAAACTGTCAACAATTAATATTTGCCTCTTTGCAATTACTGCAGTTAGTACCGTGTGATATATTTTTGTGTGCGACGCACTCTCACTGTTTACACCTGTGGGATAGTGTTACTGAAGATCTGCTGCCGCTCCACGTTGTGGAAAAAGTGGGTTTCAGTTCACGTTTATTATTTTAACCTGGTAGCTTGACTGATGATTTGTAAGAATCAGTTTACAACACAGGGCAACAGATTAAGCCAAAAAAATCTTTAATTGTCGTTTTATTCATTAACCACTAAATCTCCATCTTCTGCTGCTTATCTTAAATCGGGTCACAGAGCAACAGGTCCAGGAGAGAAACCCAGACCTCCCTCTCCCCAGTGACACTTTCCAGCTCATCCTGGGGGACCCCGAGGTGTTCCCAGACCAGAGAGGGTACATAGTCCCTCCAGAGTCCTGGGTCTGTCCTGGGGTCTCCTACTAGTGGGACATGTGGAACACCTCTAAAGTGTCCAGGAGGCTGTGGCAGAGTGGTTCAGGGAGTCATCCTGTAACCAGAGGGTTGCCAGTTCGACACCTTGAGCATGACACTTCACCCATCTTGCCCACTGATGTTGGTCAGATGGTTCGGTGGCGCCGGTGCATGGCAGCCCCAATGGGCCTTCATAAGGCAACATATAAGTTGAGTCCATTTCCCATCCTGATCAGATGAACCACCTCAACTGACTCCTGTCGATGTGGAGGAGCAGCGACTCTACTCTGAGCCCCTCCTCCTATCTCTAAGGCTGAGCCCCGCCCACCCTGTGAAGGAAGCTGATTTCAGCTACTTGTATCCAGGATCTGGTTCTTTGGGTCATGATCCACACCTCATGACCACAGGTGAGGGGTGGAACGAAGACAGACCAGTAAATCCAGAGCTTTGCCTTTAGACTCAGCTCTTTCTTCACCACAACTGACCGGAGCAACACCCTGGCCTCAGACTTAGTGGAATGGACCACCCCAGTGCACCCTGAAGGTCATTGTCCTCTTATTGGCTAAATGTCCATTAATCATGATGACATWTTTTACCAATATCTGCTAACCTTAAAACAAATTAAATTAAAACCGTTTGTACAGTTTCTAGAAGCTTTGTGCATCAGGCAGCTCAACTCATCACCTGTTTTCAAATTCTCTCCTAAAACACATTTTATCTCTTTAATTTTTAACTGTTAAAATGTTGCTTCAATTTGATCTTATTGTTTTTAAATAATTGTTATTTAAGTTGGTTTTAAATGCTTTTTCTGAATTATTGTATCTAAAGCTTCTTTTAGTGGTGACCAGCACTTTATAGTTCTTTATAAATAAAATTGTTGTTTTTTTGTGCAGCGTCCTGAGATGACGTTTGTTGTGACTTGGTGCTATTTAAATAAACTGAACTGAAAAAACTTTTGTGATGCTCCCAGTAATGGGTCAGTCCCACTGGGTCTTGATGGTGTTGGCCACTTGTTTTATGCTCTGTGTTTGACCCTGTCTTTGTCCCCAAAGGTTCCTGATTACTATGACATCATAAAGCATCCGATGGCTCTGAGTACTATCAGAGAGAAGGTGAACAGCTGTGAATATCAGACTGCAGGTGAGAAACACAGCAGAGCAGCTCACTGTTCAACACTGACAGCAGGGAAAGAGAGAAGGGCGAGTCAGGTGGACCACTGAAGCTGCAGAAGTTAGGTTCTTTAGATCAACCGTCCAAAGCAACGAGCAGAATACAGAGCTGGAGACGAGGAAACAGCAGCTTGAAGGAGACACGTRTCAGGAGATTGGTGATGGGGAGTGGGTTACATGATGGTAGTGAGACCTGATGTGAGGAGGAGATGATGATGTTCAGGGACCAGTAGGATAGGATTGTAAATGAGTCCATCAGTTGGACAGCTCAGGTCTGGAGACAAAGTTTTTGAGGTGAAGCTGAGACGGTTTGGACACCTCGAGGAGAGAGGGAACATATTGGACTAAGAATGTTCAATCTGGAGCTGTGAGGGATGGAGACCTGAGGAAGACCACTGAGAGGATGATGATGGAGGCTCTTCAGAGGATGGGTGGGACTGAGGACCACATGTTCTCAGTCCAGAACGTGACAAACCCAAACGGTGTGGAACCCTCTGAAGGTAGCAGCTGAGAAGAGAAGATGTTGGGCAGCATGGACTGAACTCTGCACACATTAGAGTCACATGTAGCTTCCAACAGATTGGGGTTGAACTGTAGAGACAATAGAAACTGATTAGCCCCTCCCCTTCCCTCTGATSTCTGCAGGTGAGTTCATCTCTGACGTGGAGCTCATGTTCTCCAACTGTCTTCAGTATAATCCTCGCCACACTAACGAGGCCAAAGCTGGACACCGCCTGCAGCAGTTCTTCCACTCCGAGCTCCACCGACTGGGCCTGTCAGAACGAGGCTCCGCCCCTCCCGCCAAACGCCACMGACCCTAAACCCACTAGGGTCCACTCAGGTAACCTCTGAGGAGGCATCAGACCATCTGTGCTCCTGACTTGTTGGTTTACAGTTTCTATGACTCTGGTGTGAGGGAACTCCTGGGGTCAAACAACCCGTTTGATTCGGTTCCCTCAGGTTCTGAGACCCAGTTGATCCAGGAAACCTGAACCCACTACAGAATGTTTCCAGTTGGTGGAGAAGTCAGAGGTTGTTGATGTTAGCTCAGGGAGAAAAATCTTTATTTTTAGTGCAGCTAAGTTGTGTTGAAAAGCACCACATGTCTGAGATCTAACCTGGATACAAAAACTGTTGAGTGTTGAAGAATTTTCTGAGTTCAGTTTTGATTTCAAGTTGACTGTTTGTTTGAGGCCAAAGAACAAACATGTCTACCTGTCCACGTGTTGACAGATAAAGTCTGGTGGCACTTTCTGGGTTTGTTCAGCAGTTATGATCTCCAGTCTGACAAAATGATGCTCTGCAGAAACCAGCTTTGTGTGCTGACTCAGCAGTTTTCACTTTTATTTGACTTGACGCTGTGAACACTGTGTAATTCCCATGGTACCAGTTATTGTGAGAGAACTAGATAATTTGTTCAAAAGTAAATGGAAGTAATTGCCTAAATATTTTGTTATAAACATGTTTTCTGCAGAAGAAATAATATTTCAGATAAATCTTTGTAGTAAAAAGCAGCAGAATGTGGTTCCTGAAACCTTGAGTCTCTGTTCAGATAATTGAGTTCAAAGTTGAAAATGATGGTTCATATTGAAGCTGAAATGAAAATGACCTGTTTTTCCTCCTGCAGATTAGAKTTAAGTTATTTTTATACTTGTTGAACCCTGGAGCTGCTGCAGCTGTTAGCTCTGGACTACTGTTAGTTTTTGTTGGGTTTTCTGCATGGATGTTGGCTGTAGACACTACACTGGACCTGTTGCAGCCCTCCATCACCCCCACCTCTTTATTTTCTATTTATTTAGTTCAAACCTGTGTGTATTTATGACTGTTAGCTGCCTTGACTTCCTGTCGTTCTACAGTTCAAATAAAATCATTTTTAAGCATTTGGACCTTCTTCTCTGGACTCATGATGAAACTTTGTGGCTTCTTTAGCCGAACATTTCAGAAACTTCTCTTGGTTTTTCACCCTGAGCTTAAGTTCTCTTTATTCAAATGCAAGAAGAATAAATAGTCATTTACAGAATATTGTCACATAACTGTTATTTTACTGCTAGAAGTTTAATGGTGTAATTTAGAGTTTATTAAAACTGTGGTCATTACAGAAAACATCAGAACTGACCATGAAGGCTTGTTTTCATCTGTAGTCCCTCAGGGTCCCGTAGATAAAAATACAATACATACAAATTAAGATTCTTTCAATAAAAATGACTAAAATCACAACATGTTTAAAAAGAGAAAAAAGCCATTCAGCATGATGACRATTCAAAGCAACGTATTAAAAATGCAGACTGGATATAAGAATCTCATCTTCAGTGATGATCCAGGAGCCATATTTTCAGAAGAGTTTGAAGGATCCACAGGTTCTTCTGCTTCCTGGTATTTTATTCCAGTCAAGTTTTACTGAAAAAAGTTCTGGTCTAAGAGGTACAAGTTCTGTTCCAGCAGCTCTGGTGGTCCTCACTGATGAAGACTTGATGAGTGCTACAAGTGGAGGAGGTACAAGAGCAGACAAACTAAAAGACAAATATTTACAACCGTACTCATATTTTCACAACTCAACAAATGTTTAGCTGAGGTGGTTCACAGTGTGGTTCTGTTGAGGTTCTGAACCAGAGAACGGGTGGAACCCTTGCTCTGGTTTGGGACTAGTCTTGTTGGACCAGGGGCCTCATGCATCACTGGTGTCTACTCACAGAAACCTTTTCCACTCCAAACTCCAGATGTATCAAGAAGGAAAGGAAGGTGGAAATGTGCACAACTCCACACCAGCTCCACACGGTTCTGTGGTTCTGGTTCCACTGGAGACACTTAGAGGTGATTCTGAGCAACTGTTCATGATATGAAAACGATTATTGTCCACAGCAGAAACACATGATTCACAAGTATTACATCCAGATTTACACGGATCTAGAGGAGTGGAGAGGAAAGCACAGTAAGAAATCTGAGCCTGGACATGGATCCACAGACCAGAGCCCAGTCTGCTGCAGTGAAGGAGCTGTGGATTTACTGGTCTTTCTGCGTTCTAACCCTCATTTATGGATCGTGGGGTGTGGCTCTGGACTAAAGGAATCAGATCCTGGATCGAAGCGGCTGAAATTGGTTTCTTTTTTTAGGATGAGCTGGCTCAGATTTGGAGAGGCGGAGCTCTGAGTGCTGCTGCTCTGAAGGAGTCAGCTGATGGTCTTCAGATATGGTTTGGTTGGATATTTGTCAAGAATCAGCAGCGTCTCTTTTACCATTTCACTGGACCTGGCAGAGAGATGTTGAACATTTATTTATTTTATATAAGTATATAAAATAAATAATGTTAGCTGACCTCTGTCAGCTCACTCCTAAACATCCAGAAATCTAGATGGATCCCATGCCCTATGACCTTGGGACCCCAATTGTTTTTATCTGACCGCATATTTAAGACATTTTTAAGACAAAGACAAGAGAAATCTTTATTCCATTTTTATTTGTGAATCGTTTCATCTGTGAAAGTGTTTAACATTGAAGTGATTCAGGCCAATAGGCTTTAGAGAGTCTGACCAGCTGGTCTCCATGTGTTTCTTTAATGAGAAGGGATCCTGCAGCACTGCTGCCACATGGCAGGTGTGGATGCATCTTCACAACTATTTATATTTAGAAATGACTGCATAGCTTTGATAATATATTGCTAGTATCTGTTGCATTATTTAAAAAAATCTTAGGGGAGTTTGGCAGGGAGAACTAGTGTTTTTCCTTCAATTAGATTTTTTTTTCAGTCTTACTTGTTTATGACCTTRTTTTAAAGGTTTTACAAATGACTTAGAAGCAGAAAATAACTACATGTAAGCAGATCAACAATAAGAGACATTTAAAAAACAAAGAAGAATCTGAGAATCATCCACAGCTGATATACTTTATCTTAGCTCAGAGAAATATGAATCATGGAGTTTATTTTACTAAAACTTACATTGCAGATATAGAAAGCAAATGATTTACATAAAACTAAATATCCTGGTTCCACAGAGGCTCAGGAAGGACAAATCAGAGACTATAGTCATCACATTTCACCTGCCATGGAGTGGAAAGATGTTTTTATTTGCTTAGGTCATGTACTGTATGTACGTATATCCATCCATTATCCATACCCACTGTTTACTGAATATACAGGTCCTTCTCAAAAAATGAGCATATTTCATCCGACCAATAAAAGAAAAGACAGGGAAAAAAGTCTGTATGTATTCATGTGTGTATGTATATGTCTATATACAGTATGTGTCTGTATATACAGTATGTGTCTGTATATACAGACACATACTGTATACACAGTATGTGTCTGTATGTACAGTATGTGTCTGTATATACAGTATGTNTTTAATCCACATGTTATCATCTGATGCCCTGTTGATATGGAAACAGATAGTTGTAGGAAGAAAAGCAACAGGTTTTCTTTATGTGACAGTGTTGCTGTTACACAGAGTGAATGAGAACATTACATTGACAGAAAGGACTGTGAAGGTGTCTCAGCTGAAACGTAATGTTGTGCATATAGCTACTGTTCCCTGAAGGAAAGGAACGAGGTACAACATCATGTATGGGAACCACGCCCC